ATGGATGGATGGATGGATGGATGGATGGATGGATGGATGGATGGATGTTTGTCAGACTGACAGACATCTCTGTTAAAATTATTATTTAATTCAAAGGGGTTGTATTTACAGGATTACAGCTCTAGTCTTCTTCTTTCGACTTTTCCCTCTTCAAGGATTGCCACAGCGAGTCATCCTCCATCTCACTCTGTCCTCACTCCATCTACCTCCATGTGCATCCATATATCTCCTCTTTGTCTTTTTTTTCTTCTTCTTGCAGCTGCATTTCTAACATTCTTCTACCAATATATCCACTGTCCCTCCTTTGGACATGTCCAAACCATCTCAGTCTGGTCTCTCTAACTTTATCTCCCAGTTGTTCAACCTGTGCTGTACCTCTGATGATCTCATTCCTAATCTTCTCCATCCTTGTCACTCCTAAGGAGAACCTCAACATCTTCTATTCTGCCACTTCCAGTTCTGTCTCCTGTCGTTTTGTCCATGTCTCTGTCTCCAGACCATACAGCTGGTCTCAACACTGTCTTGTAAACTTTTCCTTTGACCTTTGCTGATTTATTTTTAATATTTGATCATTTATTGAATTACATTTATCACAGTACTACATGGCCCTGAGGTGTAAATGAACCTCTCAGTATGGTTCTAAATAATATCAAGTTTAGCTCATCCAAAAAAAAAAAAAAAAAAATGGAAACACACATCTTCCTTGTTAAAACCTGCAAATGTTTGCCCTTTAGTCTTAATATTGTTTAATTATAAGAACTAAAGCATCAGAGCTGCAGAGTTTTCTAAATTTTTTCTCTCTCTGTGTGTGCGAGAGGTCAGTCAGCGAGTGCAGGATCAGTGACAGATGTTCTTGTGTGGTTTGTTTCTAGTGTGCTTTGAGTTCAGTGGACTTCTGTGATCCTGACCACCTGGACCTCTGTGATCCTGACTGCCTGTGAGCATTTTGTGATGAGAGAGGCTCACAGCTGAGCTGCTGCTGGGTCAGGACAGAACCTGTAGAATGGTTGAGGCTTTTGCCTGCAGTCTCTCACTAAATTGGGAACCCTGCTCACTCCTGGGCTCACCGTACATCAGAAAATAAGACCCACCCAGCTATGTTCTGATTGGGTAAAACTATGGTTCTGGTTTGATTTATTTGTTGAAATCAGTGCCAGTTTATTCCCTGTCTCATAGTTAGATTGGATAGATTTGACACAACCACATCAAACACACGTTTTTTTCCTCTTCTCACTTTTACAGAGGATGGAAGTTCATCGTCCTGGCCATGGAACACTGGACCAGCTCTTTACCCTTACTAGGATCCTTGAGGGGTCTTGGGAGTTTGCCCATCCAGACAACATGCGTTTTGTGGACTTGGAGAAGGCGTTCGACCATGTGCCTCGGGGTACACTGTGGGGAGTGCTCTGTGAGTATGGGAATGGGGCACATTGTTACGGGCTGTTCGGTCCCTATACAAGCGGTGCAAGAGTTTGGTTCACATTGCCAGTAGTAAGTCCGACCCCTTCAAGGTGGGAGTTGGACTTGTAGATGAACAGATGCTCGGATATATTCATCATTTAACACGGATTCCTCATTTTTCTGGACTGAATAAAACGTGCATTGAATTTAAGGAAATGCAAACGTGAGACGTCATCTATGTTTGACCCATCAAAATGAATGCGGTCATTTATTTACAGAATCAAATTTAACATCAAACATTTACATTAATTTGGCAAATTATGAAAATAACAACAAAGCAATCACTCAGGAAAAATCATACGGCCATGATTTTTCCGTTGCTGCACCACAGGCATTTATAAAACTGTACAACTATGATCTTTTACCCACACGGATTTGAATAAGCACTTTACACAGACATTTCTAAATATCTGGAAGAATTTCTACTTGATAGAAAAGTTTAGAGATGAAAGAAGTTTAGAGGGAGTTAAGATGGTATGGGAGGGGAAGAATGTTCACC